TGTACATTTCTTATTTATTAGCGAAATTTATGAAACCATGATTTCAGTGAAAATGAACACCCATGCAATAATCAAGTCACATTTGATGTGAAATGTATTATAATTAATCTTTTATGTTTTATTTGTATGTCAAATATATATATATATATATATTAATGTATAGTTTGATTATGTTCTAATAAATCTATTAACTTAATTGAGCATCAATTATGATACCAATATATTATAATAATACAATAAACAATTAACTTATAAATAATGTTTTTTAAATTATTTTATCAACTTTTTTAGTATGCCGATCCAGTTGCCGATTTATTAGATAAATGGGGTGTCTTTAGAGCCCGTTTATTCCGTGAATCTTGTGTGTTTTATAGAGGAAATTATGTGAAAGACTTAAACAAATTGGGCCGTGCATTACATAAAGTCGTAATTATTGATAATTCACCTGCATCATACATTTTTCATCCAGATAATGCTGTATGTTTATCTCTTTTACATAATATTATATTTCATTTAAAATAATATTATCTCAATATTTTTTTTCTTAAAATAATATTTTTAGGTTCCTGTTAATTCATGGTTTGATGATATGACTGATAAAGAACTGTTGCATTTAATTCCATTTTTTGAAAAACTTAGCAAAATGGAAAATGTTTATCCAGTTATTTGCAACATAAATCATATGGCAAATGCTGCTGCTGCTGCTATAGCAGTACAATCTCAACACATCAGTAGCGACAATGTTTTATAGCATCAATTTCTAAGTACAATTTATTTGTGCCAATGGTAATTATTCTAATCTACCATGTTAAACAAAAGTAATAATAATCATAATGTAACAATTGTTTTATGTATACAAAGATAAAACTTAAATATTTACCTAATTTTGGTACCATTATAATTTATAACTGTTTTAATTTTTTTTCTTGTTAAGCTCCTCTAAGATACATTTTCAAATGTTTAGTTTTATTTTTATAAAAATAAACAAACTGACCATTTTCTTAGATATTATACCTATATCATTTAATTAAAAGTTATTATGATTTTTAGATTATAAATTTATAACATTTTATGTATAACAAGATTACCTACATTTTAGAGTATTTATTTATGTAAAATTAAAGTACTTATTATCCATGCATATGTATATGTGTATATATGTATATATGGTGGACTAATCAAGGACAAAACAACTAAATTAAATATAAACAGTTTAAAATATCCTTTTTTGGTTTATAAAATGTGTTTTAAAGCATGTCTGGTGGATATGTTTATACAAACATATATGATYATATCTTATCAGACGATATAATATGGTATAACCTTAAAATTCAAGTTTTGAATGAAATATCTTAATCAAATCAAGTTTTTATTTTTACATTTTTGTCTGTCCATTTTATAATAAGTATTTTAATCTAAAATATAGGTACAAATATCTATGCTTTTGTCAATAATTAATTAATTTATATTTTATTGTAATGGAATTATTATTATTATGCAATTCATACAAATTAAAAATAAATTATTGACACCCCTATTGCATAGATTCACGAATTTAATAATATATTATGCATTAAAAATATATTTTAACTAAAATCAAACATTCTCTAATATTTATTTTATTTTGTTTTTATTTTTGTGAAAAAAATCAATTTTTTAATTAATAGATTAAATTTAAGCTCTCAAGAGGACACAACCAGTATATATGAATATAGTGTCATATGGTTGCATATTATAAATTACTTTAAATAATTTTAGCAATATTGCATAAAAAATAAATATGCAGTATTATGGAGTGGATTGTATTTATATATAATCATAAAAATGTTATATTCATTATCATTTATAATTTTTTTTCTGTGTAAATTTGTATACAAATGGAAATATTTTATAATTTTTATAAAAATCTAAACACATATTATTATATATTTTAATATTTTTTTTTTTTTCATTTTATAATAAGTATTCAATTATTTTGTAAAAACAATACACACACACACATATATATATAATATGTGTTCATTTATGCATTTATAAAAATTGACTGGTTTACTTTGTTTTGTTGTACATTAATTAATTATTGTGTACTCTTGAGATAATCAAAATAATAAATGTTATTATTATTTTTAATTTATGTCTTATTTAAAAATATTCAGTGGCTTATACAGGGAGAAGTGTGCTTAGTTGTATCTTGAATATTAACCTAAGGATTCCGATAAAAAAGAAATAATTATTGAAATATATTTATTTGCACAAGTTATTTTACCATAAATTAAGTGAATAAAAAATATTTGGCACAGAATTAATTAGAATCAAATCATTTTTTTTTTCACTTCTTATTAATCCTGTGTATGCTACAGATAATACTAAAAACACCAATGTATTATTACCTTTTGTGATAGTCTTTTGGAATTTATGTTTTTTTTATTATTATTATTATTAAATTATTTTATTTTGTTTTCTTTTAAAATTATATTTATTTTAACATTTTATCACATTAAAACAAAATTAGATTTAACATTATGTTAATATCTATATTTAATTTTTTTGTTATTCTATTACTGTATGAGTTTTGTTATACAATCTCTTAACATTGTTCTTGCTCATACATTTAATTTGGATTATTTTACATTATGGTTTCAGATGATTGAATCTCTTGTTTATTATTAATTTTTAGTTATTCATACAATTATATTTCTTTATGTGAAATGCATTTAGTTGTCTAATAAATGAAGTATCATTTTTGTATGTATATTAATAGACTAGATTGTCACTTATTATACACTCATAACATTTTTAAAAAGTACTGAAACTATGAAATATATACACATGTATTATATTTTATCATTATTTTGCTCTAAAATGAGCAAATAAAAATATATGATTTTATTATTTATAACTCAAAATTGGTACTTCAATAAACTATAAACCTTTAAATAATACATCACTAAGCACTTATTATTTATTATTTACARTTATATATGTCATAGGCTATTTGGAAAATTAACCTTTTTGCAAAAAATAAACTATTCTTTGCAATGTGGTAGCCTGTTTGATAACTATACTTATTATTGTTCCAAACGCTGGCTGTTTTTAGGTTTATTGCATATAGGTTAACAACAGTTAGGCCTTTTATGAACTACAATTTTTATATTGTTATAAATAATAA